TTTGTAATATTTGGTTATGACACATATAGTAAATAAATGTGTTCATCAATATATTTAATTTATTTTATGTGCGTACCGCATTCCGCACTAGATGAAAGTGGATCGGGGCTCCGCACTCAGTTGGACTATCCAGGGACCGGGACTCCTGCCACAAGAAGCATCGTTAGAGCTGCCCGGCCGGGGTTGGCCAGATAACTCCTCCGGCGTGGGAATCAGTGATCGGAGAAGGAATGTATGTTAAGTGTGATTAGAACAGTTCTCATTAGTTCAGTTCCATTCCGTTACCTTCAATGTGAAGTTTATGAAATATATATAGTATTCCTTACTTGCTTCTCAAGGTGGTTTCATGGAATGTGGATGCTGCCATGTGTCCTTTCAGCATTGCTCCAGGTGGGGGACCACCTGGTAGTTGTCATTGATTGCATATACTCATTGTAGGCATGCTGATAATAAATCACATTCCTTTGGTTCAACAACTTCTGTGATTCTAGGTGTAGAGGACCAGCTGAGGTGGCAACCTGCACATGCTTGCACTCACAGCTCCCACGTTTCCTTGTGAGGTTTCTCCAGCTCGGTACTCATGTACTTCAGTTTGGTACTGATGTGCCTTGGCTCGATCTTTTTCAGGATCATTCATGGAGATGGGCTGGCCCATTATCTGTTCGGCCCACAGATTCTGTTTCGCAGCTCGGCCCAGACCAGTACTACGGTTGGGCTAGCCTTTCCATTGTGGGTTGGGCCCAAGTGCTTGAGGACTTGGGTGGACTGTTGATCATGAAGTTGGGCTCAACTGGTTTGTCCATATACTCATCTGACCCACTTGGATTCGGACTTTGTCAGATTGGGCTGGCCCAAGGCTTGGACCTGACCCATTTCACATTTAGCCCATTCATTTGCCCCCTAGCTCGCGTTAAGGTTCCCCTTGGGGGGAGCTATTGTTCGGCTTCCCAAGCGTCGCGTCGTTTTGGTTCTCCCCCAGTTCGGCCTTGGTGGTGGTTCAATCTTGACACACAATTCCTGCATGCGTCCTTTCATGTAACACATGGCGACGTGTGATAGGTGTGCAGAGATAATGCGTTGACTCCATACCGAAGGTCGTGATTCGTGTACCTGCACGCCAACTGGTGTAATAAATGCTTAGGCTATCAATTCGAATCCCTTGATTTACTTTTCTCATTCCTCTAGTGAGTTCCAAAGAGAGAGAAAGAGCTTCTTCCCATTCCTCTGGACCGATCTCGTTGGTGCTCCGCTTGGGCTTTTTCGCCGCTGATCTTGCTTCGCTACCACTGTTCTGATATTTGTAAGTTATCTCATGACTCTTCTTCTCTTTCATTTTTCTGTTTTAATCATCTTGTTTGGCCCACTTGCTATCTGTGTCCCATACTCTGTTATCTGAATCCTACTTCTGTCCCATTAGGTTGGTCGAATGGGTAAGTTCCGTTCCTTGGTTGATACCCCGGAGGCCATGGCTATGTTCCGTCTGGATTACAATATCCCCCATGACATTACCCTTTCACTGGCGAAAGTAGACGCCAAACGTATGGGTATGAGGAACACCGTTGTCTTTCCCATCGCGGCAATAGTCGAGGGAGGGGTTCGGTTTCCTCTTGATCCGTTAGTGCGCCGTTTTCTGCATCAAGTCCAGTTAACTTGAATGCAAGTATCTGTGAACCTTTTCCGTGTTGTTTGCAGTGTGTTTGCCCTCAATAGACGACTGGGCCTGAACCTTGACATATGGGATATCTGGGGATGTTACACCCTTTCTCATAACAAAGACCATATTACATATTACCTGCGTGTTCGCTCGGCTGATTGTCACTTAGTTACTGGACTACCTGATTCAGATAAACACAATGACGATTTCCTACAAGTTGGTGGAAATTGGGAGTTCCCCGCCGGAACCGAGTTTCAGTCTGAACGGATGCCACAGAAAGACGGTTACCCAGGTCCGGGCCTCTCCTTCTAATGCCTTTGGTGTTTCTTACTCTATTTTGAATATTGCTCTGATGGGTTGCTTTCTTTTTGCAGAGTCCTCCCGTTTTCAACGAAGGCCGAACCGAGAGAATGCTGAAGCCATCAAAGCTGCCTTAAGGTATAAAAAGATATCTGCACCTGAGTTATTGGACTACCAGTCAACTTACCGTTCCATTATTCCAAAGAAGGCAAGGCTTGCTGCTACCCTTGTGGACTCTGATACCGAGACTGACACGTCTCTCACCTCTCTGGTCTCGAGCCGTCGCAGGAGTCAAGATGCATTTTCTAAGAGAGCGCCCTCCCCTGCCCCCAGTTTCACAGGGAGCGGGTTTGTGGCGAAGAGAAGGGTGTTGGTAAATTTAGAGGCCGAGGCCTTCGGAGCCTCCGGTGCTTTGCAAACCCCTCTGGAGAAGACCGAGGTGAAGAGCCTCATGGAGGTAAAGATGGAAGTTGGAGCTTCTGGGACCCCTGTGACTGCTACCGAGCCCTCAACTTCAATCGCTGCACGAGCAAAAAAGAGAAGAAGGGAGGTTGGCAAAACAGTGGTGGGGGAAGATTCTCAGGATCCTGCTGAGGATGATGGTTTTGAGAAATGGGAGCCGCCAATATCACATGAGGGTAGGCCCATTTCCATCTCTGATTCAGTTGTCGCTTCGCAAGATTTTGCCTTTGATTTGACCAAGTTTTTGTTGTTGCCGGTTGATATGGCCGACCATAATGGGCCTCGTGACATTTCTATCTTGAAGGGGACCCTTCAAATGATGGCTGTTGTAAGTGTTTTCTTCTCTTTACTTAACTTCGTTGTTGCATTGCTGTCTTTCTTTTTTCTAAGTTCTTTGTCGTCCTTTGCAGTGTATCCAGAGAATGCACCTGTCCATTACCCGTGCTGAAGAGCTGGAATGAGCCATGCTGGAGGCTGCAATGAACGTAGAGAGACTGACGGTAAACTTGGAGTCAGAGAAGGAAGGATGTCGAACCGCTGAGAGGGAAGCCTTTCGTTTGAACAAGATTGTCGCTTCTGCTGAACAATCGAAGGAGGCTGCCATTGGGTCACAGGCTCAACTCGAGGGGAAGGTGGCCGAACTGGAGGCCGTTATTGCCGTGATGGTTGCTAAGCATACTGCGCTAGAGGCCAAGCACTGGCAACAAGGCTGGGATGAAGCTGGGGCGGCGTACAAGGAGGAGGTTCTAGTGCTGCGAGACAAACTCTTTGTAAAGGGTTGAACGAGTGCCTTAGCCGCTGCGATGGTTCCTGAAGGCTCTTCCCTGTATCATGATGTCCATGTTCCTTCGAGATCCTTGGATTTGAAGACTATTTCTACCCTTGCTGTTCTGCCAGACGATGTTTCCCCAGAAAATGATTCTGCAAGCAAGACCCAGAGCATGAATGTTGTCGCTGAAACGGTGGACGTTGAAAGGGTTGAAACCCTAGAGACCGAAGCCACGGGAGATGTAGTTAAGGTGGCTCCTACTTCTCAGAAAGTTGGAGCTTCCTCTACTTTTCCTCCCGCAGATGGCCTAGATAAAATTGCTGATGCTGCTCCTGAGTTGCCCACTGTTGATGAAAATTGATGTTGAAAGGATTTGAACTTTTTGCTTTTCTGTTTTGGTGTATTGTGGCTCGGTTTCCATGACGGGCATTCTTTCTTCACTTTATCAAGACAATTTTTCCTTTTCTTTTTTTTTTTTGCTGCTGGTTGTGAGGCCTTCTGTGCCCTTTGCTGGATGATATAATTTTCTCTTTGAACTTGCAATTTGATGCTGTTTGGCTTTTATGTCTGAATGTATTCTATACTGCTTGCCCCCGGCCGAGCTCTGTTGGGACCTTTGGGCCGAATAGGTGCTCGGTCTGATTCTATACTGTCTTTAAATAGATGCTTTGTCTAATTTCTGTACTGCTTGCCCTCGGCCGAGCGCTATTGGGGGCTTGGGGTCGGACTGATGCTCGGCGTGGCACTGCATTATTTGCCCTTGGCCGAGCACTGTTGGGACCTTGGGGCCGAACTAGTGATCGGCGTGGCTAACGGATATGTGGTATGGCTGTGCTTTGAGTTTGTAAGTGGGTCTTACTTAGATCCAGGTTGGTTTCGAAAGAAAACAATTGTTTGCCTCCACCTGGAGCTAAGTAAGATAGATACTGAAGAGTTGTCCCTTGTATAGAACAGCTTGAGTCTGTTTTAACTTTGATAATACAAGTGCATTTAAATGAGAAAAATGCAAAGAGGGATGTCTTACTCAGGTCCAGGTAGGTTTTAAAAAAAAACAATTGTTTGCCCCCAGCTAGAGCTGAGTAAGGCTGATGCTAGAAGTTTGCTCTTGACGTAGCTCAGTTGAGTTTGTTCCAACTCTGCTGGTTTGAATCAATACTGAAGTGTTGATGTGCTGATACTTAAGAAGTTCTGTAGGTGCAAAAATGTGTGCTTAAGATATGCCAGTGTAGTTTCCACCAAGTAATTCCACTTGGCTAAATAGAGATATTTTACTTAAGATACATTAGTGCGGTTTCCACCAAGCAATTCCACTTGGCTAAATAGAGATGTTTACTTAAGATACATTAGTGCGGTTTCCACCAAGCAATTCCACTTGGCTAAATTCCAATTTAGTTACCAAACATTTTTCCACCAAGCTATACCATTTAGCATGTTTGAGTGCTAACCAAATTTAAATTCCGTTCAGTCGTTCTGAAACTAAGCCATTTGGATTAAAACCAAAGTTAATTCCGTTTGACAAACATCAAAGCTAGTTCTGTTGGGTAAAGACCAAAGCTAATTCCGTTTGATACACATCAAAGCTGATTTCGTTTGGTAGAGACCAAAGCTAATTCCGTTTGGTAAGAACCAAAGCTAATTCCGTTTGGTAAGAACCAAAGCTGATTCCGTTTGGTGGGAGCCAAAGCTTATTTCATTTGATAAACATCAAAGCTAATTATAAGAATTGGATAAATCTGAGAGGAGTGGGAAAACATTTGCATTGGTCAACAAATAAGTGCCTTTATATCCTGATAGAGAAGTTAGGGGATGATTCTATTAATAGTATTTCTTGAGGTTTGCTACGTTCCAGGGCCGAGGTATTGCTTTGCCATTCAGATCCTTTAGGTAGTAAGCTCCATTTCCAATAATGGCTGTGATTTTATAGGGACCTTCCCAGTTCAGCCCAAGTTTGCCCTCACCAGGCACCCGTTTGTGATCCATGACTTTCCTCAAAACCAATTCTCCTGGTATGAATTGCCTTGGGAAAACTTTTTGGTTGAAACTTCTGATGAGCTGCTGCTGATATGCTTCAAGTCTGATTAGCGCTGCCTCTCTTCGGCCCTCTGCCATATCCAGTGCTTGCGCGATAGCTTCCTTATTACTGGAGCTTTCAAATAATTCAGACCGAAGGGTTGGGAGACCTACTTCGAGTGGGATGATGGCCTCCATTCCATAGGTTAAAGAGTAAGGTGTTTCTCCTGTGGGGCGTCGTGCTGTAGTTCGGTAGGCCCATAATACGTGAGGTAACTCTTCAACCCATTTGCCTTTAGCATGTTCAAGCCGCTTTTTCACTCCGTTGATGATGGTTTTGTTCGATGCTTCTGCCTGACCATTGCTCTGCGGGTACCTTGGAGAAGAGTTCCTATACTAAATTCTGAGGTCGGCACAAAATTTTCTGAAGATCTTACCATCGAACTGTGTTCCGTTGTCCGCAATCAGTACCCGCGGAATGCACCACTACATTTCTCAAAACAAACCGCTTTGTGTCGGCCTCTTTGATGCTTGCTAGTGCCTCAACTTCAACCCACTTAGTGAAATAGTCGGTTGCAGCAATGAAAAATCGCCTGTTCCTAGTGTCTCGCGCCAATGGTCCAACAATATCCAGGCCCCATTGCGCAAAGGGCCATGGGCTGGTGAGTGGAGTAAGAGTTTTGGCTGGCTGATGAATGAATGGAGCAAACCTCTGACATTTGTCACACCTCTGTACGTACTGCTATGCATCTTGTTGCATCAGTGGCCACCAGTACCCGTGAGTGAGGGCTCGGTGCGCCAGTGACCTTCCGTCAACGTGGCATCCACAAATTCTATTGTGAATTTCGTAGAGAACATTCTCAACGAGATTTGGATGCATACATAGGAGGTAGGGGCCAAGGTAGGAATGTCTGTATAGCTTCCCAAATGGTGAGATCCAGAATCAAGCTGATTTGTGCCTGATCTTGTTGGCTTCCCTTCTGTCTTTGGGGAGTTTACCAGATTTCAGAAAGACCAATATTGGATCCATCCAGCTCGGCTCTAAGTTGTTGCAGAGGACTGGAGATGCAATACTTGGTTCTGGTACAAACTCAACCCAAACTCTCCTGGCATCCTTTGTATCCACTGATGAGCCGAGGCATGCCAGAGCATTTGCGTGGCTATTTTTGTCCCGACTGATTCGTTCCACTCGTATGGATTAAAATTTTCTGAGTAGGTCTCTGGCCTTGCCTGCGTACATAGCTATTCTTTCATCTCGAGTTTCATAAACCCCAGAAAGCTGGTTTACCACTAGTTGTGAGTCGCTGAAAACAAGAAGTTATTCTGCACTGAAGTGTTCGGCGCTATGCAAGCCAGCTAATAACGCTTCATACTCGGCCTTGTTGTTTGAAGCCTTCCAGCCTAGCCTGAGAGCCTGTTCCCAGATAAATCCTTCTGGAGAAATAAGAACTACTCCTGCCCCCGAGCCTCGGTTATTGGACAAACCATCGATGTAGAGTTTCCAGATGTTTCCAATAAAGAGTTTTCATGCTTTCGAAGCGCTGGGTTTTCCTTGTTCGGTTGCGCATGACACCTGTGCCGAACTAAGATTCCCCGATTCAGTACTCTGGGTGGGAATAAATTCTGCGACAAAATCCGCCCAGACCTGGGCCTTGATTGCTGTCTTGGGTTGATACCAAATGTTAAACTCACCAAGTTCTACCACCCACTTTGCTGTTCAGCCAAAGAAATCGGCTCGGCTGAATACAGATCTGAGGGGAAATTCAGTGAGGACGTTAATGGTATGCCCCTAGAAATAATGTTGCAACTTTCTTGAGGCGATAAGCAACGCGTAAGGTAAGTTTTCCAGTGGTAGATACTGTGTCTCGGCATCTAGTAAAGTCTTGCTAACATAATATACTGGTCTCTGTTCCTTGTCAACTTCTCGAATTAATACTACGCTCACGGCATGATCTGAGACTGCTAGATAGAGATACAGCTCCTCTCCCGGTTCTGGAGTGGACAGTAGAGGAGGTGCACTAAGGTATCTTTTGAGGCTCTGCAGTGCTTCGGTACATTCGCTACTCCATTCAAATGCTGCATTTTCCCTCAAAAGCTGGAAGAAGGGCTTCATCTGATCTGAGGATTTGCTAATAAACCGATTCAGTGCAACCGCCATTCCGGCTAGTTTCTACAGTTCCTTAGACTTTGTTGGCACTTCGAGATCCTGTATTGCCCTGATTTGATCCGGATTCGCTTCAATTCCTCTGTGAGTGACCATGTATCCCAAGAACTTCCCTGTTCCTACTCCGAAGGCGCATTTCGAGGTATTGAGGCGAAACTGGTGGTTTTTCAGGATGCTAAAAACTTCTCTCAAGTCTGTGAGGTGGTTTGTAGCGAACTTGCTTTTTACTACCATATCGTCTATATAAGCTTCCATGGTTTTCCCCAGTTGGTCTTTGAACATCTGAGTGATCATTCGCTGGTAGGTCGCCCCGGCGTTCTTGAGGCCGAAGGGCATTACTCTGTAGTAGTAAGTCCCTCTCGGAGTGATAAACGCTGTCTTTTCTTGATCCGGACCGAACAGTGGTATTTGATGATAACGCGTCCAGAAAGCTCATGCGCTCATGCCCTGCTATTGAGTCTATTAGTTGATCAATGCGAGGCAGCGGAAAACTATCTTTAGGGCAGGCTTTGTTCAAGCAAGTGAAATCGACACAAACTCTCCATTTTCCGTTCTTCTTCTTGACTACAACTGTGTTAGACAGCCATTGCGGGTATTGAACTTCTCTGATTGCTCTCGAGGCCAGGAGTTTTTTGACTTCGGTAATTACTGCCTCGGTGTGCTCAACTGAGGATTTTCGACTTTTCTGTACAATGGGCCGAGCTGAAGGATTAATGTTGAGCTTGTGGCAAGCAAATTCTGGGTCCAACCCTGGAGTATCATATGCTGACCACGCGAATACCTCCATATTTTCCCTCAGCAGTTCCAACAGCTGAAGTTTCTCATCAACGCCTAGCGAGGTACCGATAAGGAAGTACTTTTCCGGGTCATCTTCTCTTACTAAGACTTTCTCCAAATCCTCTACCATCTTTTCCTCTAGAGTTCCCCCCACATCTTCCAAGACTGGCTGTCCAGCCACTTCTACTGTCTGTACCCGATTGTAGAGCTGCTTTGCCTTTAATGCTGCCATGAAACAATGTTTAGACGCAACTTGATCCCCTGAGATCTGCTCTACTCCGTGTTCCGTTGGGAAACGGATGAGCTGGTGATAGGTTGAAGGGACTACTTCCATTCGATGAATCCACGGACGGCCAAGTATGGCGTTATAAGGGGATAGTGTATTAATAACCAAGAACTCTATCTGGAGGGTTTTTGTCCCCGCTACGACTGGCAATACTATTCTGTCGAGCGGCCATTCCGGCTGTGAATTGAAATCGACCAATGGGGCTGCCGCTGGGGTAAGATGCTGCTCGGAGAGGCCGAGCTTTCTGAACAAATCATAATACAGTATGTCTGCCGTACTGCCCTGATCTACTAGGACTCGTTTTACATCAAATCGTTTCCCAATCCCAACAGTTATAATCAATGTATCAATATGTGGGTGCTGTATGCCTTCTAAATCTTTGCTAGCAAATGAAACAGTGCACAAGGGGGAATTAGGTACTGTACGCACCTTTTTCGATGCCGGCTCCACTGACATGATTCGCTGAATTTGCGCAGCCTTAGCGATCTCTTCCTTCAGTGCCTCCTCAGATTCTTGAGCCGCTGTCCCATGGATCACATTTATTATCAGCCGGGGTGGATGCCCAATATTTACTTCTGGAGGTGGGTTCCCCAGCTCGGCCACTTCCTTATCCTGATCAATGTATTCTTTTAGGTGTCCAGCTGCCACCAGGTCTTCCAAGTGTTGCTTCAGTGCCGTGCAGTTTTGAGTCATGTGTCCCCTGTCTTGGTGGTAGGTGCATCTGGGCTTCTGATTGCGCCGAGCTGGATCTCCTAACATTTCCGGCGGCCAAACAAAGAAGGGCTCTTTCTTGATCTTTTTCAGGATTCGATAGATTGGCTCTTTGAACACAGTCACAACGGCTTTGTGGGATTTGGACCTATCCACCTCATTCACTGCAATCCCTCGGTGTTCTCCTCGATCCGTTCTCTTCTTTTGCTGGGCTGTTTTTTCTGCTGACTCTACCTCAATGGGGATCTGATCGTCTTCGAGACGAGCATACTACTTAATCCTGGCGCATAAGTCTTTCAAAGCTGTGGTCGGGCGCTTGGTAAGTGATTGTCTCAACTTACTTTCCGGGCGCAGACCATGTTTGAAGGACATAACGACCATCTGCTCGCTGCACACATTTTCTTCAAGATCATTATACTCTTCTCAGTATCTCCTAGCATAATTGCGCAACGTTTCCTCTTACTCCTTCCTAAGGCCGAACAGTGTATCCGGCTCTTTTGGGATCTTAGTATTGGAGACGAACCTGGCTAGGAACTCTTCGGAGAGCTGTTTCCAGCCATGAATCGATCCAGCGGGGAGTTGATCGAACCATCGGAGTCCGGTTTCTCCCAAGCTGGATGGGAAGACTTTGCACATCAGTGCCTTATCTCGGCTCCATAGGGACATCATCTGTCTAAAATGGCTGATATGTGTCAGAGGGTCCGATTTCCCATCGTACGAAGTAAACTTTGGTGGAGTGAACTTCTTTGGAGGTCTCATGGTCTCAATCTCCAGAGAGAATGGCGAAGAGACGAGCCTGTCCAGCGCTCGATGTTCTCTCTGGTGAACAGTACGGTCCAGATGATCTCGATGTTGCTCGTTTTGCCTATTGCCAATCAGCCAAGTGCGAAGGTCCTGAGGAGGGTATTAAATTTGTTGACTAACCGTCTTCTGTCTCTTGGCCCTCCTCCGGGGTGACCCACGGGTGTGGCTACTCGCCGCTTCACTCTGTGCTGGGATGGGTAGGCTTCATTGCCTGGAGTCATTCCTGGGGAATTTTTTCACTGGTAGTTCTCTAGACGAGCTCTTTTGTTGCAAACGGGAGGGCTCTGCTACCGTCCTCTTTTCCGTCGGATCACCCAACACCTTCTTAAGTTGAGCTTTCAATTCCTGTATCTCCATTCCCATGGAATCTATAATTCGATCTCTATAATCCTTTTCCAGAAGGAAATGATGATAAGAACCTCCGGTGAAGGGCAGTCGATGCTCAACGGATTCGGGGGTTCGATTATTGTTTCTAGTTTGCTCCTCCAGAACTGTTGGGAGAGCCAAACCTTTGTCCTTCGTCTTCTCTGTCTGTGGAGTATGTGCTGAAGGCAGAATGTCCTCAATCCCCATTGCCAGAATTGAATGCAGAGCTCAGAGATAAAGTGATCCACGCTCACCGCACCAATTGTGCGTATCGGATTCCGCACTAGATGAAAGTGGATCGGGGCTCTGCACTCAGTTGGACTATCCAGGGACCGGGACTCCTGCCACAAGAAGCACCGTTAGAGCTGCCCGGCCGGGGTTGGCTAGATAACCCTTTCGGCGTGGGAATTAGTGATTGGAGAAGGAATATATGTTAAGTGTGATTAGAACAGTTCTCCTTAGTTCAGTTCCATTCCGTTACCTTCAATATGAAGTTTATGAAATATTTATAGTATTCCTTACTTGCTTCTCAAGGTGGTTTCATGGAATGTGGATGTTGCCAGGTGTCCTTTCAACATTGCTCCAGGTGGGGGACCACCTCGTAGTTGTCATGGATTGCATATACTCATTGTAGGCATGCTGATAACAAATCACATTCCTTTGGTTCAACAACTTCCGTGATTCTAGGTGTGGGGGATCAGCTGAGGTGGCAACCTGCACATGCTTGCACTCACAGCTTCCACGTTTCCTTGTAAGATTTCTCCAGCTCGGTACTCATGTACTTCAGTTCGGTATTGATGTGCCTCGGCTCGGTCTTTTTCAGGATCATTCATGGAGATGGGCTGGCCCATTATCTGTTCGGCCCACAAATTCCGTTTCGCAGCTCGGCCCAGACCAGTACTACGGCTGTGCTAGCCTTTCCACTGCGGGTTGGGCCCAAGTGCTTGAGGACTTGGGTGGACTGTTGATCATGAAGTTGGGCTCAACTGGTTTGTCCATATACTCATCTGACCCACTTGGATTCGGACTTTGTCGGATTGGGCCGGCCCAAGGCTTGGACTTGACCCATTTCACATTTAGTCCCTTCATTTTATTATGTTTATTATATTATATCTTGTAATAAAAAAATTAAATGGAACATTATTTAAACTATTTGCCATGAGAACCTTAGAGTAAACAACAAGACAAAACACAAAACACACACCAAAAAAAAAAGAAAAAAGAAAAAAAAAGGTAAACGATGCCGCATTAGCTTGCAACAATTTCTGTTGTGCTTTGAGCACAACAATCCTCTAACTATATATCTAAAATTGAAATTTTGAAAACTTTTTAATGGAAAGTCAAAAAAAGAATCTTATTCATATTTTACCCACATCTCATTCGAAAAAAATTAGATGAAAAATCTACAACAAAAATTTATTTATTTAATTTGAAATTACAATCTTTGAATTTAAAAAATTGAAAATAAAATTTTAGTAAGGCTGTGATGACTACATTTGGTATTATCTAATGGCACCTGAAATGCTAACTACATGTGCTATGTGATTAATATCCAATAAGGTGCCACGTAACATGGTACTCAAATATAATAAAAGTTACTATTTTAAGTATGAATTATACATAACTGCATGAAATAAAAAGTATTCAAAATTTTAGTTAGATTATGAAACAACCTATCCAATTCAAATAGTTTGGTCAAAAATAAATAAATAAATCAGGCCTAAACTAGAGTTCTTATCTATAAGTAAAGTCTTGACCAATAAAATAATTTGACATAATTCCAAACTAAAAATTGAGCCAAAAACTAAAACTTGCGTGCTCGGGCCAGTCTTGAACTTTGCGGGGTTCAAAGAAAACTTGCAAATGGTAGTAGAAACGCCATTTCAAATGGTTAAAAAAAAAAAAAAAAAAAAAAATGTTAATGAAATAGAGTAAGGTAGCGTTTGATAACGTTTACATTTTTTGTTTATATTTACAAAAATTTTATAAATTGATTTTTGTTTATTTTTTTAAAAAATATAAACTAAAAAACGTGTTTGTTAACGTCTAA